ATTTTGGGAGGCTGAGGCAGGTGGGTCATCTGAGGTCAGGAGTTCAAGACCAGACTGGCCAGCATGGCAAAGGCCCATCTCTACTAAAAATACAGAAATTAGCTGTGCATGGTGGCATGCGCCTGTAATCCCAGCTAAGGCAGGAGAATCACTTGAACCTGGGAGGAGGTTGTAGTGAGCTGAGATCACACCACTGCATTCCAGCCTGGGTGAGAGAGCGAGACTCTGTCTCAAAAAGAAAAATAAAAAAATAGACTGATCAAATTTTCACTTTTTCTCAAATTATGGCATCAATTTCAGGGACACATTTTTATATTTATCATCTTCTAAAACTTTATAAAATTTTTTTAGTGTACAAAAGTTTAGATCTATCTACTAGACTGAAAATACCCTGCTTCCCTTTTCTCTTTTTCCTTATATTTACTTACTTTCCAGTATGATTGCTGTTAGTAATCAGTGTCATTTTCCAATTTCAGAGCTAGGATTACAGTGTTTGAAGAAGGGAGACAAGAATATCCTCCATTTTCTTTTGCCATAAAGAAGAAAAAGGTTTTACTTTTCCTCCATAGTCAGGCTCTTGGTAGGTTTCCTAGATGTGTTACCAGTATCTCAAACTTGAAATGAGATAATACACCCTAATTGCCCCATTTCAAGAATCACAGTTGTCACCAAGACACACATCCAACTAATGCAGGAAAGAAAGGACCTGGAATGATCTATATTTTTTCTGTCTTAAATTGACTTAAAATCTTATATATGAGTCTAGTAACAGATACACACATGCACATACACATTTCCATAAGTATAAAAGTTATATATATCTTTTCTTTAAGTTATACAGACCTCTAGTGATAATCATTAAAGACTTAAACCTGGCATGGCAAAATTTTTCAGGTTCTGTCAACTCTGCTAATATTGCAATGCTGTGCAACATGCTGTGTTGGGAAGATTCTAGGCTATGATGGGCCAAGGTAGAAAAGAGCATCACAATCTCTTAACTATGTCAATAGGATAGTTATTGGAATAGGTAAAAAAACAATCTATTTGTTATCCATGACCTAATCAAATTATCTGTGCAAAAACTCCTCCTTTCTTCTTTTTAATGAAAGAATATATAAACACACATTCAATGAGCAGAATTTCATTGAACACTTCATAATTTCTAATTACGAGACAATGTATTATGTTTCAGTCATGAGTTAATAATTAAGCATTAGTAAAACTTACTAGTTCAATTAAATTGAAGGTGAGAATAAGCCAATTTAGGAAAATAAAACAGTGTCATTATTTTGAAGTAACTTACTGAGAAGGATTAGAAATAGGGAAGTTGTGTTCATGGTCCTAGGGAGCACATTCACAAACTATGGTGTAAAAGTCAACCCTAGAGTTGCACAAGACACAACTCTCACAACCATATGTGGCAATCCTGGTGTCTGAACTATGAAAGAAATAAATAGTGTAAAATATAATAGTGGCAATACTTGTTTACTTCTTTATGGAATATAAAGGGAAGAGGAGTGCATCAACATTATTGAAGCATATATTAGTTTAGGATTTTATATCC